TGGTGTTACCTTGAACAAGCAAATGTCTATACCAACAGGGTTACAAAAATAAAGTTTTAACGAATCAGCTCGACAGGTTCAGTGCTTGAGCCAAACAAACAATATATCACATAAGTGTGTGACCTCAATTTTTTTTAACCAGAACTTCCCAATAGCGAGGAAGAGGGAGGGTGAGGAGGAGTAAAGGGAGAACGGAGGAGGGGGGGAGAAAATCATTTGAGTAGCTAAATGAAATTAGCAGCTTTAAAGAGCCTGAGGGCAAAGTGGAGTCGTGTCCCCCGTGGCTACGCTTTAGAGAAGGAGGGAATGAATTAAGCTTGACTGGCTCCTCTCCTTCTCCACCACCTCCTCCTTCTCCTCTCTCCCCTGCTTCTTACTCCCTCACTTTTTTTCTGATTTTAACTAATATGAAGGGTGAGATGGAGGGAGGGGGGAAGGGGGATGAGGAATGAATGAGGGGTATAAAAGCAGCTCGTGAAGGTGAGGATAGGCTAGTGCTCTTCTTTGCCGAACAAGTTTTCTGACTCTCTTTCTTGCTGGCTTCTAATTTTGGACTTTGGACTGACATAAAGTGAAAAAAATTACTTAATTTGTTCCTTGTCTTTCTTTTTTACCTTTTCTTTTTCTTCCCATTCGCTCTCGTTTCCCTCTTGCTGTTCTCTCTCTTCTTCCTCTTCTTATTATTCTTTCTCTTGATACCATCTTTTCTCTTCCTTGTGGGTGTCGGACATTTGGCCCCAGCTGTTGCTGCTTCTGCACCCAGGATTGAAGCATGAACCCTGGGGCATTCTCCAGCTCTGGCCCCCTGTCCTGGGCCATGTACCTGATGAGAAAAGGCCGGACAGGCAGCGGACTCTTTGGTAAAGCTAATTCTTCTTGACACCTCATAGTCATCATTATCACCTGGTCTCGTCATGGCACTTTTTTGTTTTTATTACGTTGAACTCAATGTTCATTGATGTTTTTGTCCAGTATTGCATGTTGTGGTGCCTTCACATCATATGTGGCCATAATTAGCCAATGTTAATTTCTGTGACTGTGTTGTTCCAAGAAGCTTTTCACACTGTAACCCCTCAGATGTTTTATTTTTAAAACTACAATGGCACTTCTTCTTTTCTTGAATGATTCAGAGCTTTAGAGCTTCTTTCTTGGATTTCATAGGCGGTTCTCTGATTGTTTTGGGTCCCAGGTGGGTAATAGGAGTTCATTTGGGAGTTGTAGGTGTTACTCAAGACATGAGTAGAGAGATTTTAGAGGTCTGTGGGGTGTTGTAGGAATCTATCTGGTTCTTCACAGGGTTCAATTTATCCTCCAGACCCCAGTTTCTCTAGGAATTAAATGGAAAATTCCTCACATCACAATTTAAGTGCAATTCCAACATTCAGAGCCAATACTGGATTAGAGTAACCTTGATGTACCTGCTGGAAATGTAGGATGTGGAGGCTGGGTTTTCATGCAGGCCACCAGAGTTCACAGACTTGCAATTAGCATTGTTTTAGTTGCCTAAGTCTAAACATAACCATACCATAGTCACCATGTGCAGAAATTGTTTTGAGAATTAGATAAGAAAGAAAACCGCTGACACTGAACTTCAAGTACTTGCAGTGGTATAAAATCATGTTTGGCGTGTCCTTGGGGTGTTCCATTAGATTTTTTTCAGGTTTTTGGCATTTTGCATCAGCTCCAGGGTCCATAAATGTTTTGTAGTGAACCTGTCTGACTTGAACTGGGCACTAGGAGAGAATGTATAATGATCATTGTAAAAAACTGTAAAAAAGAACTGGAGGGTCGAGACAGTAACAAACCAGCTTGAGTGTCCAGCAGTAGTAAATTAATGCTGTGGTTGTAATCATAGATTGGTGCTCATATAGTTTTTTTTATTTTGGCTTGGTGGCAGGATTTTAGAAACACACATATTTGTTCGCAACAGAAAATATGTGCTTTTGAAGGCTGATCGTGAAATTTCCAATGTGCAATTCTTTTTGGCATTATTTTTTCAGGTACAATATCCTTTGTTATTCCTGTCATTATTAGAAAGCCTTTGTCAAATCATAGGCCTTGATGGACCAGAAATTAAATAACAATTACAAGCTGAAAAACTTGTAATTATTGTAATCTTAAATCAATCAAGTTTTCCTTGATATATCTTTAATTTGAAGAATCTTTTTTGGTTTTTATTTGATGGATCCATAAATGAAAAAGTATTTCTACTGCAGCTGATAATATGAAGCAATGCTGGTATCAATAACTTTGATAGGTGATTGTGACTGCATATTGATTATGGATCAGAGGACACTGACTCACATTACGAGCCAGTCAGTGGGAAACGCTGGCTGGGCGAAATCTAACTCCTGTCCCTCTGTCGTGTTGTTTCTTACTTTCTCTCTTCCTTTTCTGTTTTATTTGTGTATTTATACATTTATACAGTTTTTTAATTAAATGTCTTCCCCCTCGCACAAATACTTTGACATCAATCTCCAAGTCTTACAGGACTTTACAGCAAGGCTGTTATGGTCAAAACAGAACAAAATCCGTGATCCGAGATGAATTCAGGAATTGCATTTAAAATCATCTATTATACATTTTCAACTAAATATTAGAATTTCAGACATTTTGTGGCAACACAACGCATCTTAAAGCAGTTTTTTCACACAGTGGCACAAATAACCAACAGGATATACATGTATGATGATACATGACAATATGAATTGCTATGAGCATCTAAACTCCCTTTGTTTCTATAGAATCTGTACACTTGGCATAATGCCTAAATTTTTCACAGATATATAGTTTCAAAGCATCCTCCAGAGTTTGAATTATTTATAAGTGTGGTTCTATGAGGAATAAATGTCCAGTGTCAGATTTAATGACACTAACTTTGATGAAATTGCAGGTTGACAGAAGTGCTTTAGCTGCAGGTTGTTGTGTTTGTTAGAAAACTGCACTGAATACAAGCAGAAGAATGTAAAGAAAATGTGTTACAAATTATTAAATTATTAGTTTCATTGTTCATCTTGTTTCTAACTTTTTATGCAATATAACAATCAGTGACAGTCAGTTTTCAGCATGCAATTTTGGAATGTTTGAATTCATCCAAAGATGATCTTCAGATGACAAGAGAAAAAGGACAAATAGGTCCTCGACGAGGAAGTGAAAAATGGATATTTCCGAGGGCAAATCACGTCATATCCACCTCAGGCCAAGACGAGAGTGGAGACATTTACATTTTTTATCATCCCCCCTTTGGCTACAGTGGGATGGCTGCAGAGGCAGACTGGCGTTTCCCTAAAACTCATCCGACAGCGTGTTGATTTAACTCAAATCAAATAGACTGACTCCCGAAAACACTTTACTGAAACAGGCAGGTGCACAGGATGCTGTATACCCAACGCTTAACCAGTAAAGTAAAGTTTGGTGGGAACCAAAAAATACCTTTAACGTTGAGCCAGAGTACACACGTTTCTTTTTTTTATAAAAGTAACTTTTCTTAAGAGCCTTTTTGAAATTTAAAATTAGTATTATATCTTAAACTTAAGTTGCCATATCTAATATAATTTACCTCAAACACCAATACTTGAATTTTCTTGGAGATAACATATTTCATCACTTATTATTATTTCTCCATTATAATCATGTCATGGCAAAAGTAACAAATCAGTATTTTGTGAAACACAGTTCTCATCTTTGTTTGAATGAGAATAAGCTGAGTAAGAATTAAAGCCATAACATAAGGAATTCATTTAATTTAATTTTCAGTTTTCTTAAAAGATGAATGAATTTGTTCTACTAAGTTATCCTCATTTGAATGAATGCCATGCTAAAAAAATGTATTTTTATCTTGTGGTTTTTCTTAACCTTTATTCAACCATTGAGCAATAATAATGAGTTACCACAAACAACAGATAACAAAATATGCCACAAATCAGAATTCAAAAGAAATGTACTTTTACAACCATGAGTACTTTTTCTGATACAATCAGATTTAATCTTATTCTTAATCTATATAGCACCTTAAAATAATGCTGTCTGAATGCAAATCATGAATATAGATAAGACCAAACTAAAACTTAATAAGGCGAACACATTAATCAATAAGAGAGAGTACAGCTTCTGTAAAAATGATTTGAAATTTATGGACAAAAAGTAGTCTCTCTGTGAATTTAAATCATAATTTGTGATCTGCCTGAGAGAAAGAAAATGAGATTTTATTGAAGTAAACTGCAGTTGGTGGGGGATATTAAAGTTAAAAGTGGCTCAAAATAATTCAGGACATGTTTTAAGTCATACTTTAACTTTTTCTGTTGGTCATAAACTACATTTCTTTTAAATGGACTCTGGCTTCAGCACTCAGTGTACTTTGTGATGGTGATTTGCTGCCGTTCATTCAGTCAGTGTTTCAGGAGGAAACACGAGGCCAGTGTCATGACTTAGATCACCTACTGCCCTCTATCGTTTATATCCGGTACTGACAGCATGCTTTGGATGCACTGCCTTTGCCATCAACCACATTTATAACTCCTGAGGGTTAAACAGAGTTGATTTTGGGCGATTTGGAAAATGTTTTTTTGGAATAAGTTGTGACATTTTATCAAATTCTGTAATTTTAATGTGGAGAAAGTGTTTTTATACGCATTTATCGGCACTTTTTGCCCACTCTTTTAGTTTCTTGTTCAGATTTCATACACACAGTATTCCATAGTTTCAACAACATGACCCTGCATTATGTCACAATGTTGTATTTGACCACATTCAAAGAGATGCAGTCCTCTCAAACGCAAGAGGAAGTGCAGCGCTGCTTTTTTGTTACTCCCCCTTTCTCTTTCTCTCCTAAACCCCGCCTACTCTCGGACGGACATAACGCTGATAGGTCAATCCCTTTCTAGTGACAGCTAACGGCGAGGCTCTCCATTGGCTGAGAGCTGCTCCGCGCACAGATGACATGCAAATTTACGAGGTCTGCCGGTAAAAGCCTGGCGCTGTCAGCGGGGATGTCCATTCATCTAAGAGGGGAGGGGAGAGAGACATAGCCGGGGAGCAGAGAGGGAGCGCGGCTCGTATGTGTCGGTGTATTCGGTACAGGCTTTTAAAAGCAGGATGAAAGGAGATTTAAAGTAAAACACTTCAGATTTACTTTCCCTTTGTCTGCCTGTTTTGACCACTTTTGATGCCAAACGTGTGGAAGCTTAATTTCAGTTGCGAGGAGACAGAAGGAGCTTTCCAAAAATCCATCACAAGTCTCGCACTGACTTCTATTCCGAAAGGTAGAAACACACAGTTTTTGTGTTTTTGCCCAAGTGTTGGAAATCTGCTTTGGACATCGTTTTGTTGTGGGCTTTTACGCACAAAGGCTGAAACCCGGCGCGTCTGGACGAGATAAAGCACCGCAACTGGGCCACTTTCTACGGAGAGATAAGAAGAAGTCCACAACGTGACAAGCTGTCGACGAATGAACAGAAACACATCTGTTTATTGATTTTCAAGACGAAATCGGGAGGTTTATAGTAAAGATCGGGGAAGTTGAGTATCTGTGGGCGCACTGTGGCGCACAAATGGTGTTCCTGTGGGACGCAAAATACGGTAAAGGTCATTTGTTTATGCATTTATTCATTCACATTAACCCTGTGGGGCGTTATATGACACTGGGCGTGTTAGAGTATCACATCCAGCAACGTGGTCTGTAATAATGCAATGAGTGAGGGACAAATTCAACAAAATCATCCATAAGTTTCCATCCTCTCCGTTACTCTGCATCGGATGCCGGAGCTGGAACTGTCCTGTTTATTCAAGTCAACATGTGCGAGTCATCTGCTCATAAAAGAAAAAAGAAAGAGCAGAAACACTGGCTGAAAATATTCTTTTATGTGTGCGTTTATGATAGTGTTGTGTTCAGGAACCTCGCACTGTTTCCCTTTAGATTTAATCCTAATGTATGTGGTGTTCATGTAATTTAGAACTCTTCTTCTCTTTTTAAGACTTAATCTTACTTCTCCCATTGTAAAACCGCACACACAAACACTGACAGTTCTGCTATAATTTGTCAGTTATTAAATCGGATAGTCAATATGAAGTACTGGAACCACAGTGTGCGTTGTAAAAAGATTATAAACAAAAATCTTTATTCCACTTCATTTGGGATAGTCCGTCTACAGATAGTTTGTAGAGTGTTTGTAACATTTCAACAGCTTATTAGCTGGTGTTTCCCACATAAAGGTTTGGTTATGCACAGAAAGCATTTTGCTTAGGGTATGTTCATGAATTGTTAAACATCTATAGGCAAATGTTACAAATACTCTATAAACTGTCTGTATCTCTAGGTTAACTATCCAAATACTAAAATCCTTCCTACAATATAACACGTTTAATATCATGTTAAAGCTAAAAGTTCCCATATAGTGCCCACTCATATTTATACACTTTGATGCTCTGAAAACACTTATATATATATATTATAATATGACTATGATGCCTTACAATGTATTGAGTCTCTTGAGATTTCTAGGAGTGATATTAGACTTTTAAAACAAAATAAAACTTGTTATACATTTCTATATAATTTATTTGGATATACCCGGCATCCTACAAAAGTCATTCTTTTGTTTTTTATCGTCTCTTTTTGCTGCTTTTTTCCTAAATTCATCCAGTTTCTTTGATATTAGTTCATGCAAAAACCTTCATAAAAAAGTTAAACTAAAGTTGACAAAATGATGAGATTCTCGACCAGGTTATGTGCCACATACTGATAAAATTATAAACATTTATGATCCAACATCACCTACCAACCATTGTTGCAAGTTCATCTCAGCTCATTTAGCTGCTATTGAAGCACAACGGCACAAATTCTGACGGTTCAGCCTTTTGGTGCAGAGCCGACCCGGGCCGTAAGCACAATCTACAACCCCACTGCTACCTTGACATGGTCTCTTTTTAAAAAACTGCTACTTTTATAACTTCTGTGTACTTAAAGATAAAGACATTCCACCTATATTGAATGCTTCACAGCTAATACTGATATGATAAAAAGGAAACAGTCGACCCCAGAGTTTCACATTTGAAGTCCTTCAGCTTGTGCAGCTGCTCAGCTTTGGTGTATCAATCTGCAGCTTTCCAGAAATGAGAAATCAGTCAAATTTTTAGTGTCTTAGACCCCATATGCGCTCATTTTTGACTCCAGATCTCAACTATATTAATGTTCCCCTGTGTAAAAACCGCTGGCCGCTGCTCTCAGCGAGGTTGCAGTCGTACAGTATAGTAGCAGTAGGACGGTTTCAAACCGTGAACTAAACTCCAAACCACCAGCATGTGGCTTCAATTGTGGGTTGGCTGACTGACAAACCAACAAGAGCCACTGACGCTGCAGGCACAGACTCATTTATCAGATTCCCTCTGGTTCATTCACTTTTCTCACCAGATGAGCTTCTCTTTATTATGTTAAGTTGGAAGTAGCGACCCTCAATTTAATTTCAAAAAGGCAGTGAGTGCAGTAGTGTTGCTGCTGTCTTTAGATTCATGACTACACACTCTGGTATTTAAGTTAGTGTGACCACAGTGTGTGTCATCATGCACTGAATATGACTGTGTGCGTGTGTCACTATGTCTTTGAGTTTCATCTGTGTGGTTGTGTTTATGTCTGATTTCATGCATCCTCTTTCTTTCTGTTTCAGTGATTTAAAAAAAAAAATTTTAGTCATCTAGCTGTCTTGGTATGATAACTGACATAAATGTGCACAAGCTTCTATTACAGAAAGAAAAGGATTCAGACCAGATCAACAATAGTTCATTCTTTTTTTTAGCAATTAAAGTTGTTTGTGGCGTCAGAGTGCAGATAAAATATAACAAATATACAGGATTATGAGTTGTGTTTTCCATTAATCCATGTCAGAAAATATTAAAAAACCCAAAGTGACGTCTTCGGACGTTTTGTCTAGTTCAAAACCCAAAGATATTTAATTCATTATTATAGGGGACTAAGAAAAAGTATTCATATAGAAGCTGGAATCACTGCCTTTAAAAAAAATAGTTGAATGATAAGATGAATCGATTAATTAACTAATTTTTTGCACGATTCACCTCCTCTGGTATTTGTCTTTCTATCACAAAACATCTCCAATCTGGGGATATTTATTGCAGCATAAAAGGAATTTTACTAACCTCATCTATCCTCCCCCAGACCCAGCCCCCGGCCGGCGTTACACCCCCCCCTCCACCACCCTCGGCTCGGGGGGGAAGATGGCCGAGGCCCTGCCCCTG